CCAAGGTCTCAGCACCAAGCAATAGACCTCCTAAATCATTCACTACGCTGCACCCACCCGGAAGTTTTGTAAAGATTCTAAAGTAACCGTTACTTAGCAAACTCTGTCATTTCTAATAGAACACCGGGTTCTAAGCCTGACAATGGCATTGCAAACACAGACCTGTAAGCCTTTAGACACAGAAGCAGCCTGTCACATAGACATACGTACCATAAAGGGCCTTTGCACTGTGCTTTGAGCTGTGTTCTCTGTCCATCTGGGAAAAGGGTGGTGAAGATCCGTAGCCACTGTAGTAATAATAATAAATAAAGATTGTCCTGGGTTAAAGTCCATAGTGGGTTACAAAAATTCAGAAACCGAGAGCTTAAAATGTCGATGTACCATAAGCACAAACTGTTTTCTTGAAAACATACTGGGTTTATACTAGCTGAGTTAGCCAATAGGAGCAAGTTCCTGCTCAGGCAAGCAATGAGTAAAAAGCAATATAAATCAAGTCACGCCAATGCCAAGTCCAAACTACAGCAAAGAGAATCCACCAAGGCTGGAAACCACCATATAAGAACAGAAACCTTTTCTCTCCAACCACAGAGGACAGAGGAACAGTGGAGATGCAACATAGGTGGTGTCTTACTTCCTGTTTAATAATGAAATGTGCTTCCCTACATGCAGTAACTATAACCTGTCCTAAAGAATGTTGGGTGGTGAATCTGCCATAATGGCAGATGAGAAAGCCATATTGTGCATGCCATGGAAGAGAACAGCCACTCAATTCAGGCCTGTAGCTTCAATTGACACCAGGAGGCTTGGGGAGAACTCTGTCTGGTTATTGCTTTATGTTGTTGTATACAAAGGCAGCCACCTACATAGTGTAGACTAAATGGTAATGAACATTCCTTGGCTATTTTACAAGTAACAACAGAATGTTCCAGAGACACATTTGATGACAAAAGGCAGTAAGACTTAAAAATTCCAGCCTAAAGTATCTTTAAACTACATGAGAGTATTCCTGGGGCTGGTATTTATTTATTCTTTTTTAATAATAACGTTTAATAACATCATATATTAGTAATAAAAAGGAGGCTACTTCTGAATGAATTAAGAATGGATTGCATAAAGAAATATAAATGGAGTTTTCATTTAAAATGTTTAAAACTAGCTAGGCATGGTGACACATGACTAAAACACTATCCCTTGGGAGGCCAAGGCTTGTAAGATCACACAGAAAGTTCTAGAACAGTCAGTGTTTCCAAGTAAGAACATCTCACTAAAATAAACACCACATCAAATCCCTGCCCAAATTATACATGAGCTCCTTCAACTTACTTCATCTGAGAAGGGTAGACTCCGTAGCCACTGGGAGGGTTAGACATATGGCCATTCATGCCGGCTCTCACGCCACCGTGCTGAAAATACAAAGGCACATAGGTCAACGGCAATAAAGGAGTCAGGGCACCTCGGTTTTACTGTCAGAGTGATACTGGGAAGGCAAACAACGCCGGCTCCACCTTCAAGCACTCAGGCTCGAGGGGTACATGGACATAAAGAAAAATCCTACAGCAGCAGGCTCCTTAGTCATCTAAGGGAGTAGCATATCTGTAGCCTGCCCCGAGCCACCTGTCAGCGCCGTGAGATGCCATGCATTACTTCGCTATGTAGTGAAAAATGTACAAAACATAGAAAAGTACACCAAGGAAAATCTGAGCCTTTAAAGATAACCACGGAGAGCTCTTACTTAGCGCGTGTGAGGTCCTGGGTTCAATCCCTAGGACCCGAATGGTGACAGACTCAATTCAGCATAACCATTCGTGAGCCCCCTGTCAGTCATCTGTCTGCCTTGCAGCACACACCTAGCTTTCTGTCCCTTTTACTCTCTCTCCCTTCACGCTTAGCAACACCTCATTTCTTGTTCTTACACGCTTTGATGCATCTAAGACAGCGTTTCCCCACATATTCCTTCTGCTTCTCATGAGAAAATCAATACCTAGTATTAAACTTCAGAAACCATTTTATGTGCATTTTATAAATGGAACAATTTCCCTCAAATAAGTGGGAGAGAAGGCTCAGCAGGTAAAAACACTGTCACACACATATCTAAGGACCAGAGTCTATTCCCGGGACCCATGGCAGAAGGAGAAAGCTGACTACAGAAAGATGACCTATGACCTCCATATAATGCTGTTACATGCACACAACAATTAATAAATAGTAATAATATAATTTTAAAAAATTGTTTTGAAACAAGGCACATGAGTAAAAAGCAAGTAAAATCCTCGCATTGCTCAGTAGTGTCTACTCCTGCATCCACAACCCTCCCTGGCCTCTCTGTCACTCACCCACCCTGAGTCCCGTTGTCTTTTTCTACTGTGTCCTTTCATTAATATTGCTATTTCCAGTCAACCTTCAGGGACAGCACACATACCCCGAGGCTTTACTGTAAGACAAGGACCTAGGTGGGAGATGCAGGGAGTTACTGAGAGCTGAGTTGGTGCCAGGTGCTAAGACAGACAGCAGGACTCCTGCAGTGAACAAATTAGACGGAGCCTCAGCCACACGTCTGGAGATAAAAGCAGACCCTCACACAATAAACACAGAATTATAAGATGCAGGGAAACCCAGGGGTAGCATGGGAGTGCATTTAAAGGAACAGTTCAGATCAAGACAGCATTAAAGAAATCACACTCGCGGCCTGGTAATTTCCAGCTAACTCTTCCTCATCCTTTCATCTCAGTGGAGTCAGTCACAATGTCCTTGGGGAACTCTTATTGACTCTCCTGAACAAATAGAACCACGACATCAGATACTCCACACACTACAAACAAACCTTCAAAGTTCGGACAACAGCTGCAGCGTCTCATCTGTTCGTTAATTCCTGACTTCACCCACACTAGTGGTTCTCAAAGGGCGAGGGCTTTCGTTTGAGACTGCTGCTGTTCAAACTCTCAGAGGGCACTCGGCATGCAATAGGTGTCCACTAGACATTTGTTCAAATCAAGGAGGAAGACAGAGGCCTAAGTCCCTCTTGCCAAAGAGCATATGGTCTTAGACAACATTAATTTCTACCAAATGACCTAAACAAGTAAGTTCCGGTTCAATAGGTTCCGCTTGAAACCCAGTAGAGCATGGTGGGAGGAAAAGCCACACACTTAGGAAGGGCCAGAACTTGACTTTGCTCTTAAAGAAAGGTCAGAATTTATAGGTCCCCCAAACACTAACGTGAATTCCAGCTCCCTGATAGCGTTTTCCAGCTTGGCTACTGCTTGAAGACATGTGTCCAGATGAAGGAGCTGAGACAGTTAGCTGTGTGTCATCTCAAAGTACACCAAATGGTCACCCTGATTCACAACCTGAACCCCTCTGAGGAATCGAGCTACACAGAGGGCCCTGGACCTGCATTTCCTACATGCAGCACACCACTGTGGCCTCCCTTCTGGGAGGAGTGTCCTTAACATATGAATATGGGGACAGCCTTGATCCCCAGAGGCTGACAACTGGCATTACAGTGAATCTAAATGAGCAACAGGAAGGAACAGTTACCTGCCCCTAGCTGCGGCTACCCCCTTCATATGATCTCTCAGCAACACCAGAATTTGCTACTGAGGGCCCAAATATATGCCCAGATGTTCTTACCCAAGGTCTTCTGTCCACAAAGCAGGAAAGCATCGCACACTCTCTTGTGAGATCCTTGGGTACCTTAAAACTAATTAAAAAAACAACTTACGTCTTTCTCTTACTCTTTGGCTTGTGTATTAATTTGGTTCCAAGATCCAGGCAAAGAGTTCATCTGCAAACTAAAGTTTGCAGGGCCCACAGGGGCAGCTTATGGCATACCGTTCCTGTACAGCAAGCATGGGGGCCCGAGAGAATCTGTGTGAAACAGCACGGCAAGGAGAACATGTCTCCAGTCCAGGGCTAGGGAGGAAAAATCACTAGATCCCTTCCTTAAGCTTGACTCTGTCTCAGAACAAGGTAGACTGTACTTGAGGAGTGACATTTGAGTCCATGCACAGAAGTAAATGCCCACGTGTACACACGAATGTAGTTGAACACACACAGACACAACATCCACATCGACACTAGGTGGGTGTGGCTCTTACACAATCAGACTTGTGTCGTGTGGCTGTCTCTGCTTCTACTGCTTGTCCCCTCCCCTTTTAGGTTTTTGACTTGGATAAACTCCCTGGTACAGTAGCAAGCTAATCAAGGAGGCCCCTTCTGATTTCCATGGTAGCAGCATCCCCACCCAAGCAAGCAAGCAAGCAGTGATTCGGCCATTTACAAAAGTGCTCAGCATCGCCCAATTTGCTCTCCGAGGTTTTCAGCATACAACTAGAACATGTGGCTGCTGCATTCCAGATTGGGAATAGTCCTTCGGGTCTAGAGCCAAGGGGCTAGGATCCAGGCATTTGCCACTGAAGACTGGAACCCCAACACAGCCTCCCCTACTGTTTGGCTGAGGCAAGTTCATTAAGCCTGTCTCAGCTCTGTCATAAACAGAGATGACTGTTCTCTTCCTCGTTCATGGGGCTGGTATGAACACCAAATGAGGCAGACACAAGTTTATTCAAAAGTTGTCTTTAAAAGAGAGGGACAGAGAAAGGAAGGAAGAAGAAACGGTCTTTCATGGCAGCCTGCTTCATTCAGAATATAAATTAAAGCCCTAGGCCTTGTGCAGATTTTGATCTGGTTTGCATTTCAAAACCACAGCAGCTGGTTTCAATGAAAAGTGGTGAACGGGGATCCCCTCTCCTGTGTTTGCTTCTTCCTACGAGCTAATAAATGCATGGCTTGTGCTCTGTTTTAAAAGAGCGATCTGCCAGCCTCAGAGAACATCAGAAAGGGGAATAGAAAAATGTCAATTCGCTAAATTGAATTTCAAATATAGAACGTCGTCCCACTGGGCCACTGCCCTTCCTCTTGTCACTGTGGTCAGGTGGTATTCCACATGGAGGTTTCAGATGTCTAAACATAGCCATCACAGAACACTCCTCCCAAAGGAAACGGGTGCTGTCCTTGTCCCCCACCCCCTGTGGGCTTTAAAGATAAGCTCAATTTAATGCCTACTTAGCACCTAGACAGAAGTTAAGAGAGAAGGCAATGCTGACCAAGAAAACAGCTGTTTTTATTTTCACAATCTTTATCACTTTATGGGCTTGCAAATGTAGTTAAATATACCAATTTCTGGCTACGGAGGAGTGCTGGAAAGCCATCGCAACAGCTGCAAGGATCGGATTTAAACCTTCAAGCTCCGCATGAAATACTGTTCTTAGTCATTGTCATTTCAACTTTCCTCATTTTCTAAGAAAGTAACATCCTTTGCTGATTGCAAAGATAAGAATAACAAATGCAAGACACAGCTCACCAAAGAAGCCGGAAGACTACAATTTTCAGTCAATGGAAACCCACTCAAAGAAGAAATAAATGGGGTTATAGTCAGACTAAACCAACAAGTTGAATTCATAGTGGAAAGTATATCTGCTAGCTTGGAACTCACTATGTAGACCACAGAAATCCATCTATCTCTGCCTCCAGACTACTGGGATTAAAGGTATGTGATAACCTCCAGACAATTTCAACCAAAACCTTATGACATTGTCTCCCAATAGTTTTACTTAAAGGATGAAGCCTGGACTGGCCACACAGGGAAACAGAGAGCTTGAGGTTTGCCTGGGCTACAGAGTAAATTCAAGAACAACCTGGGTAACATAGCAAAACTGTCTTAAAACAAATATTAAAAAATTGTATAGGGTTGGGAGTGTAACTCAGTGGCTGAACGCTTACATAACCCACACAAGGGTCTAGGTTTGGTCCACGGCATGAAACAAAAACAAAAAAGTTAACTTAAAGTCTACTCGAGCTGTAGATAAATTGTTATTATAAAATAAACCTTAAATACTTAAAATAATTTTGGCTTTACCGGAGAGTTATAAAAGATGTTACTCCACAGAGTTCTGTTATACGTTATGGCCTTATTTACATTAGTATGCTACTTGGAAAATAGCAGTGAACCAATGTGAATCGTTCACTGAAGTCAAACCTCATTCTGCCATTGGCTAACCGTCTGCATTGGCTCCAGGATTACCTCTGCTGTACTGAGTTATGTTTAGTCCTGACATTTCCTTGGGGACTCTATTAGACTCCTGGGTCTTCCAGACACAGCTTATTACAAACTGCCTTAAGACAACATAAACCCCTTCACTCCTCTGGAAATCTGAAACAGAAGAATCTGTAGGCTGAACTTCCTCTGACAGATCCGAGGGCTTTCCCTACCAAAGGACACTCTCTGGCTGGTAGATGCATCCCTTCCTTCAAGTTCACATGGCCGACTCCTAAGTTGTCTATGTCCAAATTTTCCCCTTCTTTTAGGGATAGCAGTCTCTAGACCAGAGTTCATGCTGACCCAGTTTGACTTCCTCTGAACTGCATTGGCAAGGTGCCTATCCAAATGGCGACATACATGGAGAGGTCGGTGTGAACATACCAACGACCTGGACTCTCTTATGAGGAACAGTGTACTCTGACAATAGACTGCTACTGTCCACACAGGAGAAACACAGAGATATGGGATGTCAGGCTCACCTCACCATGTCAGCACTGCCTACACTAGCCTGGCATGGCTTTTCATGGCCACATCAGTCACTGAGTAGGGTGTCATCTGGGTTCCCACTGTTAAGTGACTTTCCTCCAGCCCACCGCATGGCTCTAGGGAAGGAGTCACTCTGTGGATCAAAACAACAGAAAGTCATCCTCTTGCTTTGCAGGAAGATTACACTACTCAATGAGGGAGTGTCGGCACCCGTTATTTAAAATTCTTCATGGGAGATTGTTCTGTTCCATGTCTTTATAAATTAAGACAAAGCAATGAAAATGCATGAAAAGGGGGCTCTGATTCATTGGCTGGAAACCCAATTATTTCCCTCCTGAAAGACCTATTTCAAGAGATTCAGGAAGGGACGGAGGTATACTTTAGTTCTGCACTAGGCGTGGAATACCAATTTTCAAAGGCAACGAAGAGAACCAGGGCATGGGCAAGACCCAATCCTGAACAAAAGACCTGGACTAGCACCACCATGAGACGAGCGGAATTTTAAGAAGGAAGCCTCATCCAAGAAGCTCAACTCTCCCAGGCATGAAGGGTTCTTCTGTTCAGATTCCCAGGGGGCATCTTCTCCCAGGAGAAAATGAAGGATTAGCACTTAGGACTGAGAAATGGGGGAGGGAGAATCACCCCCCCACACACACACACACACTAAACCAACTCACCCCCAATGCTTTCTTTTCAGCCTCTGCTCTATGTACCAGCCTGGAGGGACAGCACTCACTGGCTCGCTGTGAGGTCTACCGGAGAGACCCTGACACTGACCTTCATGACATTGAGCTGTGCACACTAAATGCCACCAGGGATCTCCTAAGGCACGTTTTTATTGTTAGGTGCCACCTGCTCCCTGGAAGTGACACAGACTACATTTGTACAGTTCAACGTTCTCCCTCAACAAAGGCAAGCAAATAAGGAACAATCAGGATCTGATGGACACAGGGAGGGCTGGAAGAGAAGGAAAGCAGGCTTGAAGATGCTCTTCAATGAGACTGACGAGCCTGAGTTCATAACCCATCCTGATGTGCTAAATGGATTCTAATGGAGCAAGTCATAGGCTGTTAGAAGCACTGTTCATCTACCTCTTTCTGCATGACTGTCTCCTCCAAGTGACCTTAGCAGTCATTCTCAACCTTTATACAGTTCCTCTTGTTGTGGTGACCCCTTAAGCACAAAATTTTTTTGATTATTTTATTTCTGTATACATGTTTCTCTTATTGGTTGAGGAATAAAACACTGTTTGAAGGGAAAGGTAGGCAGTGAGAGGCCATGGAGAGACACCATGTAGTACCAAAGGAGTAACAGGTTCGGGCATTCTCCAGTAAGCCAAGACCACATGGGAATACTTGCATTTATGGAAATGGTTAATAATTAAGACAGAGCTATCCAGTAAGAAGCCCTACTCATCAGCCAACAGTTTCATAATTAATGTAAGTCTTTTATGTGCTTATTTGGGGATGAAGCGACTGTGGGACCAGGCAGGGGAAAAAAACTCCAGCAACATTATTTAATTGCTACTTCATAACTGTGATTTTGCTAACATTATGAATCTTAATATAAACATCTAATATGCAGGATATCCACTGCCTTAGCTCAAAGGCCATTGTAAACACAGTTCTTCAGATAATTCATCTGTATTTATTTTCAGTTCAACTCCTTGTTTTGATCAATGTTTCACAAAGCAAGCAACATTTTTCTCTCTCTGTAGCCCATGCTAGCCTGGGACTCAGTATGTAGCCCAGGCTAATCCTGAACTCATGCTAACCCTGCTAAAGGAATCCCCCAACTGCAGGGATCGCAGACTGAGCCCTATTACCTGGCTTGCACAACCATATTCTTACAATTGATCACAACCTAGAGAGACTGGTATTCTGAAGTCTTTCCATTTTCCTAAATCCTAAGTGTATTCCCTTAAGGTTATTTCAATTTAAAACTCAATTACTAGACTACAGACTTCTTTTGCCAAAGCAACAAAATTCTATCTTTTAAAAATGTTAATAAAGCTATATATAGTATCCTAGTGCACATGTGTACATGACCCAAACTTCTCATATATACCATATAAAAGGGAGTGTAGCTCTGTGATAAGAACATGGCATAGATTCGCCACCCTTCTTGGTTCAACCTCATCCTTTCCTGCCTGCCATCCTACTCAAACTGCTACTTCTGTCCCTTCTCAGCAGCACATGGCTCTAGGGTGCAGCTGCTGGCACCGTGGCTATGCCGGGCATCATGGCAATGCCGGGCAGCACTTGCTCTTTGAGCAGAGCTGTAAATATCACGTTGTGCTGAGTTCAGCCTGTCTAGTGTTCTAAGTCCACGGACACCCATGAGTGCCAGAAAATATGCAACTTTAAAATCATGTTGACCACTCCTTTTCCAGATTATTCTGTGCCTTCAATACTGTATTCACCAAGGCTTATTTTTCCTTTATCTTCAATGAACAAGGAGTCTCAATGCTATTAGAAATCCATGAGGTGCCATGAGATATCTCAGCAGGTATGAATGCTTGCCTCACAAGTCTCCAGGCACACATCATACACGCAAATAATACACACAAGTACACAAAATAATGCTCACTACATTTTTTAAAAGAAGTCAAGGGAGGGCTCCAAAGCTCAGTGGTTACAAAACTGGTATTAAAATAAAGAGAGGGAGGGGGAAAGGAGAGGGAGGAGAGGGAGAGGGGAGAAGAAAGAAAGAAACTAGTATGGTAAAGACGAAACAAAGGGAAAAAAGAAAAAATCACTTTATTTAACTTTGGCTAGGTTGGGGGGGTCTTCCTGCTAAGAAGTCAAATCAAATCCAAGACCGTTCCTTCACGTCACTAAAAGCTAAAACTGCAAACAGGCTCCTCTTTAAAAAATCTTCTTATCTTATGAAGGAATGCTGAGGGAGGGGCAGGAGAAAGGAGTTTGGGGCCTGGAGCAATAGCTCAGCAGTTAGGAGTATTTGCTGCAGGCCAGAGGGATGACTCAGTTTCCTGCTCTTCCAGAGGACCCGAGCCTGGCTCCCAGCACAGGGTCTGGTGTTTCACAACTGTTATTCCAACTTGGGGGAATGGGGTGGTTGTCCAAAACCTCTGACCTCTGGCCTCTGTGGGCAACGGCAACCACATATACATATACACATATCCCCACATACACATTTAAAAACAATTTTAAAATCTTTTTTTTAAAAGCACACTCGCCATTCTTTGAGATGACCAAATTGTGCACCCATAGCAGGCATCTGTGGGCACACACACACACACACACACACACACACACACACACACACACACACACACACACTTTAAGACTATAGGTAATGCAGGGAGCGCAGTGTACAAAATTCAAGAACTAAGCAAGAAGTGGGTCTAGAAGTAAAACAGCCTCCCAAAACAGCTGAACCAAAGAGAGGCAAGACGAAGATTTTACAATGCACAGTGAGAGAGACATCCCAGGACTCTGGCAGTACCAGAACTGGCAGACAACCCAGGGCGGCACCCTGAAGCTGGGAAGCGCCAGGCACTGGGTCCTAAGAGCCTCCCTCCCACCCCCCCACCCCCCAACCCTGCCCTGGCCTGAGCTGAGTCAGCCTTGGAGGAGGGGAAAGGGAGGGGTGGTCTGGCCCGCCTCTACTGCAATACCTGAAGACTGCCTTCAGCCCAGGGAAGCCAGTGGTGCGGCTGGAGGGTACAAGAGCATGAGTACCACAGACAGCGAATGCCAGGCAGATCAAAACTGCATTGGACTAAATTAAAAAGGAATTGTGTCAAATACAGTTAGAAACATCCAAAAATGTGTTAGACTTTGTTCTTGTTGTTGTCGTTAGGCAAAGAAAGTCCAGTGTCTGTTTGCCTATGGGAATTCCATCCATATTCTAAAGCTGCACTTGCCCACGGGATGCTTTGTCGTTTAACATTCTCTGCTCCCCGACTCTCGGCATTTCTATGCATCATTAATAACCTCCCTTTATTTCCCTCCTATAATGCAATGCTTCATGTCATTTCTTTACTTCCTCATTGCAGTTTTTTCTAAACACTTCCATGTAGCAGTCTAAAGGCTCTTGGAATAAGTGCCTATTATCATTACGATTTCTCTTTTGTTTTTAATTTCCTACTATCTTTATTCAACTTTCTGGGTGGCTTTATTACCAAAAGGTAGTCCAGCCTGTCCAGACCCATTATGACAACCTGGGGGAATTTGTCAGGTCCCTCTTGCTCCTGGGTTCCTGCATTTTTATGGTCACCCATTATCTGTACCATGCTGTGGTAGTCTAAACATTAACTGCTAGTTCACAGAAAGTTCAGGAGAAAAGTCACCTCTACTGTGAACCTGAGCAGTTCAGGTGAACTATGAAATATGAGTCCGAGTTTACACTAAAAATATAGGTGGCATAGCAATAAGAGGAAGGACACGTTAATCGTCAGGGTCAGCTGATATGCTAGTGTATGCTGAACCACCCTCTGTTATCATGTCAATAGACATGCTTTGCAGATCTGGGGAGAAATCCAAAGCGCACAAGGGAAGCAGTGCCCCAGCTAAACTGGGGTGACTGCTCTTGGAGAAGCTTTGGCTCCTGTTACTATTCCAGAACTTAAGTCACAGCTTTGAAGGTGCCCCAGAGGCGCAAGTGTAAATGAAACCTGAAATTCACCCTTGGGTAGAAAAGTGCCAATTCACACATTCTGATTATCAGGTTTGTTGTTGGTTTGCTTGCCTGTGTTAGGAAAAGCCCAGGAGAGGGAATAAACCTCAGAACATGCTCTTTGTGAGTTAACCCAAAACAAGCACAGAGATACCTGTGAGCTCGCCTTAAATTCACATTGCCCGCCAAAGTCATATGAAAACCTTCTGGGGACACTCACTTCTGTACACAGTTAATAACAATTGAAGAAAAAAATTAACCAAAGCCATTAGGCTAACATTTATTGAGCACGTTGTCAAAAGTGCCTTCTAAATATTTATGAGCGTGGCCACGGGTTAACGTGGCTCTTCGCCTGGGACAGAGAGGCTCCTTTCAGCAGAAGGTGATGGTTGGCGCTGGGACTCATATTTGGTTAAAGTGATGATATGAGTGACTGATGAGCACTCGCCCGCAAACGGGATACATCACACGGCCAGCCTGTTCCAAGACACAGCAAAGGCAGAGTGGAAAGAACTTAAGAGCTGAGGGATGGAGACGAGTGTCGTGAAATACTGCTGTCCAGATACGGCATGACCACCGCAACCACGAACCCGCAGCTGCTACAGTACCTGCACAAGGTTCAGCCCTCCACCTTCCCATCATGGATGCGGGAGGTGCCCATGAGACCCCAGCTCCTCCAGAGGAGTTAATGGCTGTCAAAGTTTGCCAAGGGGAAGGCTGTCATTTTCTCTAATGGTAAAGCCACTGGGGGACTCACTGAGAAGAGGCGATTCTGCGGGAAATGAAGGGATACCATACGGTAATAGACAGCCCATATAATACAATCCATCCTCTGTGTGTGTATGTGTATTTATGTGTGTATACACACACATGTATGAATGTAAGTACATATGTTTATTTTTATATATGAAACTATCTAAAGAAAGGGGGTTAGAAAGCTAACTCAGTGGTTAAGAGGGCTTGTTATTTTTACAGAAGACCAGAAGCTGGCTCCCAGCACCCATATAAGGTGGCTCATAACCACCTTTAACTCCTGATACAGGTGAAGACCCCCCACACACACATAAAAATAAAGAAGATAATAAAGTCTTAACTACTGAACGGTTTTCTATTTATTAATAAACAGTAGTAGATGTGGCCTTTATTGCAAGAAGACAGACCTTTCTACATACTTTTAAGCTATAGGTCAGCAGAAACTTCCACATACATGACCTGAGGTAAACACAGACCCAGCTCACCAGTTCATTAAAGCCCACCAATTAATGCGTATTTGTTTTAGAATTTAAGTATGCCAGCCACTGTGCCAAGTGCTTAATTTTGTTATTTTACCTAATTCTTACCAACTTAAAGAGATCATAAAACTCCTTACTCTCATTTTATTGAAGAATCTGGGGCTTATGAAAGTTATTTTAAAAAGTTAAAAATAACTTGGCCATGATGCCATAGCTATTCCAAGAGGGCTAAGACTCAATACCTTACCCCAAGTCATGCTTTTAAGTTCTACAAAAAAAATGGTATTTTCTTTTATTAATGTCAAATCCAGTTCAGCGACATTGG